TGTCCTACGACGACTAACCATCTCTTTCGTCCCAAACACTCGACTATCTAATGATCTTGTGTCCTTCATGACCCGGACGGGACCCTCTCTCACCGATCTCACCTTTCACCATGCCCCAGCGCGTGAAGCCTTACTCAAACTTCTAGCTCTCGCACCACACCTTACCAGTCTTTCAATAATGGGAGGCAGGACAACTCCGATCGGATTAGACTTCATTAAGGGTCTGACCTGTGGGCTAGGCGAGCGAAACCTTGTGCCCCACGTCGTGTCCCTCGAATTAACAGGGGTCTTCGAAATTAGCAACAATAATTCTTTGTTAGCCATGTTGACGAGCCGCTACATTTCCGGTCCTCTGAAGTCGGTGCGAATCGGCGGTGCCAAGCGCCTGGCCGATGTACAGGAGCAGCTTTTGGTGCTAGGGTTGAATTTGGTTGACTTGAGGACGAAATCTTAGCTCATCTTCCCCTTTGAATACATTTATGTGGCTACTTTTTGCGTCTAATACATACTAAAACTGTTAAGACCTGAGCGCGTGTTCATCTTCAATGATCCATGTTCTGGGTTCACTGCAGACCTTGTCGTTCGCGGGCTCTTGCAATTGCCGTCAAGTTAACGGGCCACTGGTTTAACGTGTGTGCGTGCCGTTAGATGGGCCAACCTTGACCAGACTGCGTCTTCTTTAGTGGAACTCTCGGAGGGCGCAAGATCGCCAACGGCGGAGGCCGAAAAAAATCCAGTTCGAGGACAGATTGTATGGGGACAATTGCATGATGGTTTTGCACTATAGTCTTTGTTTGGGGACTGCATAGGGCATTTAATTTTCCGGGAGCTCAGTGCGAAGTTCGTCGTGCGCGACATCAGAAAGCAAGTCTGGCGGCTGCCGACCCACATCAAATCGAAATGGCAGCAAATCAACAGCAGCAAATCTTCCCACGGCTGCCTTCATCTCGAGCGACTTCCACTCACACATCCCCTGGACCTGGACTGTGTCGCTAAATCTTGGCAAAGAATTGAGCCTTTTGGTTGAAGAGAAATCTGCGCTCTCCTGTTATCTGTAAACTTGCACTAACTTCAACGGGGAAAACTGGAATGAAACAGCTCGCGGGCCAGGGTTAAGGAGCTACGGACCAGGGAAAGCTACCGAGCCCGAATACATGCAAATGCGGAGTCGCGTGGCCCCACGGCTTCAGCGGTGTATACCGTGCGGAGAGTTGGAGAGGCCTATACCTCCTCATAGGGCCTGCGGCGCCCGCTCATGGATGAGAATTTGATTCGCGCGCTTGAGAAGTAGGCACGAGGTGCAAGGGGCGCATCCATCGGATCACATTAAATGTGAGTTGTTCGTCAAGAAAATGTACAGTATTAATACAGCCTCCTTAGCTCTTAAGATCATTTATCGTTTTAATAACAACATCCGCCGCCTGCTTCACCGCCATCCGATCCTCCCAATTGCGGATACTCCCCACCACTGGACGAGGCTCATTGAACCTATCTGGATTGAACCTGCGCGCGGTGTTCTTTAGTATCACCTCGATCGCCCTGGGTGTCTTGAACTGCTTCAGCACGCTTGAATGGAAGAACAAGCAGATGTTCCTAGGGGTAATGTCTGCAGGAGTCACCGAGCCATCCAAATGCGGAATAACTGGCCATGGGATAAGCCGGAAGCTGTTGGGACTCTTGGAAGAGAAAGTAGTCCCGTCGAAGATTTCGGACGCCTTGAGGTGGTCTTGCAGGTACTTGGCGCGGAGTGCAGTTTCTTCTTCCTCCCTTGCCCGCTGCACCGCCTCGCGCTGCTGGTGTTCCGCATCCGCCCACCGAGCTTGCTGTTCAGCGCGATGGGCCTCCTCCTGCTGCGCCCGCCCTTGCGCCCGTCGCACTCACTCGTGATCCCTTTGCCCACGCTCTTGCTGCTGTCACCACTCTCCTGTTGTCTTACGCGCGCCGTGGGCGGCATTATGGGGCTGTTGGCGCTGATACAACTGCTGCCAAGCGTTGTCCTGGCGGAAGTACTACTGCTGTCTGCCTGCTTTGCTCTTCCTGCTGAGCGCATCGCTCCTGCTCCAGCCGCTCTCGCTCTACCCGAGCATGCTCTTGTTCGTGCCTGCGCTGTTCTTGCCGCTCTCGCTCCACCCGAGCACACCTGTGCTGTTCTTCTGGGATATGCGCCTCCCGGGGCCTGTGCTACTGACTCCCGGTATAGCTCCACAAATTCGAGCATCTGTTCACGCACACTAATGCCTGCTCACGCGGCTCGGGCCCAGGGGAAGTGTCCATGTTAAAGTGTATGCTTTGATCATGGTGGCAGCCACAATACATATACTTTCCATCGCTGCTGGTCTGGCATAGCTGATACTTCTTTGTCAGGCCACAGCAGCGGCGTCCTTCTGTGTGTTCCCGACGTTCCTCTGCCGTGATGGATTTCGCCTTTGAGTTAAGCTGCATCACGTGCCCCTGGTGTGCTGGGCAGAATCCTGGATTTATGAGGGGGATGGTGCAGTCCCAACTCAGGCTGAGGCCGAAGCATTCTGGGTGTGCGGGGGTAGCATTTTGGGGGGGCAAAGGCGACCCGTTCCAGGAGTACTGCGAGCCATTCCACTGATACGTGTTGGCCATTGCGCACTGTGATTTGGATAGTCCCAGAATGTCTTGAGGGAGAGGATTAGATATTAAATGATGGTGGTGTGGAAGAGAAAGGAACAAGCCACCCACTACCGAACAATGAAACAATGGAGTATTGCTCTCGACGCCTCGAGGCGGATTCACTTGAAGACTTCAAGCTTCAGGTTGTGATTCCATTTCTTTGTACGATCAAGCAGATGTAATGCTGATTCGTTCACAGGAAAGGTGTCAAAATCCTTAGGAGGGTCGATTAGTGGAGGTCAGTGAGCAGAACAAAGACAACGCAAAGTGTTACGTTACTCTGTGATCCAACACGTTTACTTTTCTGTTTTGCCCCAAAGCTTTCAGTAAGTTAGGGTCTGCTCCCAGAGGAAAACCTTGCTTAGATACTTATGGTCAAGATAATTTTCCGAGGCCAGACAAAATATTTTGCGACTTGAAACTATCTTGCCTAGAATATCCGACCGGTATGGGCAGTTTGATGCACTCTAAGGTCCTGATAGCGAAAAATCAAGTTATAAAAAAATCAAGTTATAACCAGTTAATTCGGGAATTATAAAAGCTACTCGAGCCCAGAGAACCACTCTCATGGAAGCTTCCAGAGCAGGCCCGAGTTGCCCAAGGTCATTCCCACGGTTCAAAATCGCATCACTCGGGCATCCTTTTTGATTTTCTTTCCCATCCCCTTCCACTCCCACTCACAAAGGTCAGTGTAGGCCTTTACCCCTTGATATTTTCTCTGATGAGTCGGAAAAAAGTTGAGACTTTGAAGCTGGTCGAATCCGGTACATATTGGCCCGAGTTGCCCGAGGGCATTCCCACGGTTCAAATCGCTTAGTTTCGGACCAGAGCCACATAAATGAGGCTGGGGTCATACATAGGGAATGACACGGGTGATACCGCGGGTGTCACGATGTCACACCGTACCCGTACCCGTGACACCCGTCACCCGTGCTCCCACGGGTACGGTATTACGGGTATAGACCCACGGTGTTTACGTACACATCTGCGGGTTCATTACTGCGGTGTTTATTGGCAGTATTTGAGTTGTTCTACTACAATTGAAGCTGCACAAGGTACACAAGGCAGTAGTGTGATGTTATTTCAAGTTGATACATGCAAATCAAGCTCAGTGGATAGATTTTTCAACAACTTGTGGTTAAAGCTGGTCCTGAATGCCATTCCAGGAATACTTAACCAAAAAAATCAACCCGGAAACTGGTTTCCGGTCACATGATCTAGTAACCAGAGTAATGATGTTGTAGGATTTTTGATTGATGCTCTCGGCATGAACTTGCTCTGAAATACAAGTTTTATTGCTATTTGAGATGTTATTTATGAATTTTGAGTGAAAGGTATTCCATTACTACTACTACTTGGAATTTTCCATGCTCTAATATGAGATCTACACCTTCTCAAATATTGTTGGATTTATGCATGCTGTAGTGGTAGAGAATAACCCAATTCAACACATGTTTGGCACTGTTAAGTTCTAGGGAATAAAGTGACAGCTGTCATCCTAATATGGAATCCTGTGGTTCAAATGAGTTGAAGATGGTGTGTTAATTGCATTTCAGGTTGATAGTAGGCAAATGGCTTAGTTGGATAGTGCTCTTCTCTGTATAAATGTTGTTTTCCTGAGTTGCTGAGTTCAAATCTCTCAGAAGCCCTTTTTTGAGTCACGGGTAAGTGTTCACGGTAGTTTGCGGTAATAAGGGTACGGTACTGCCGCGGGTCGCGGTATCGGCGGGTTTGGAATTTCGGCAACCCGTACCCGCACCCGTGGCACCCGTACCCATAATACCGCGGGTTCGGCGCACACCGTGTCAAACACTAGTCATACACATTTGATAGCAAGGTCTACACTCGCATTATTTAAGAGACAGTTGCGAAGTCATACAGGCAAGAGCGGTCATTCCCGGTGGGTGGCGCTCAAGTCCTTCCTTTTAGTAGTGTTATTGTCGCGCTCTCAGACCTCATGTCTCAGCTGGGTTTGGAGGTTTGATTGTGAGAAGAGGAGAGGAAGACGATTCAACCAATTGACATACTTACTTAATTTCTTTCCGCCCACAAACACTACATATAAAACGATGTCGGTGACCACCGGCTTCTCCCAAGTTCCTCTAGCCATTTATGCAGGAGGCTCTGGTTCAATTCCGGGTCCTCATGTCTCTGGCTTATAGGCTTTTTATTTTTCAAATCTGGTTTTCTTTGAACGCTGAGCTGCTTCCGATGATTTTTCTCTCAACGCAGATCGTCTCCAACTCGACAGGGAAAATTCAGCTTCTTGCCTGTGCGATCCTCCATGGTTTTTCAATAGTCAAGGTTCAACTCAGAAAGATAGTAGCGCATATAAATGACGCTGGGAGCTAGCTCACAGACACTTCATAGCATATTATGGTGTGCACTTGCTTCAGTTATAAGGGCACAGCCGAAGTTGAGCAAGCAAGAAGCCCCGGTTCGATTCCGGGTCGAGTGATACTTGTGTCGCGAATTCTTTTTTGTTCCCTTTCACACGGTCCCTTTTATGATACCACACTCACATGGGTTAGATTCAAGTTCGAGGAGCAAAATTTTATTAGTTAACTTGATTTTATTGATCACTCGATTTGACTTTCCAGATCTTTGTGGGTGGCTGATTTCGGTGTGGTTCAGCCAGGTTCCACCTCATAAACACTGCAAGCTTTGAACTCATGTTACAACCACTTGATGGCACATGGTGTGCACCTGCTCCGCTTTATCGCTCTCCCGGTTTATGCAGGAGGCCCCAGTTCAATTCCGGGTCGGTTGATACTACAGCAAGGCCTGAGTTCTTTCTCTCCTTTCCATGCTTTCGCACTTTGACCAACACCAAGGACCGGATCGCATTGAGGTTCGAAGAGCAGCGGCAACAAATACTCAACCAGTTTTATTACTGAAGTTGATTTCTCCATTGGTGCCTCACGAATAGGGCAGACTATGAGCGACACGGGACTTAGCTTGCAACCACTCCGTGGCACATGGTATGCACCTGTTTGACCTGGAAAAACTGCGGCAGTTCAAGCAGGAAGTATTCCTGGTCGGGTGATATCAGGGTGACAAGGCATTTTTTTCTTTCCCTTCCTATGCTTCCTTCTAGTTTCTCACAGCGGGACAGGTAGGATTGAACTTTGAGGAGCAGAGAGGTTCAACGGTTTCAACCAATTAACCACTCGACTTGATTTTTATTCAAGTTGATTTTCTTCTTCTCTCCTTGTTTCAACGTTCGGTGTTCAACCCACAAACCCTGCATATAAATGATGCTGCTAGTAGGTTATAGACACTCGGTAGCACATGGTGTGCACCTGCTTGACCTATTGCGGTGATGCATAGTTTACGCAGAAGGCTTTGGTTCGATTCCGAGTCGAGTGATACAATTGCTCGGACAATCTTTTTTCCCCCCCTTTCCACACGGTCCCTTTTATGCCACTGCATTCACATGGGTCTGGATTCAAGTTTGAGTAGCAGAGGGGCTCAACCAATTTTAATTTCGAAGTCAAGTTGATTCCCTTTCCCTTCCCCTTAGGCTTGGAATTCACTCAGAAATGGTCAGTATATTGGGCTTCACACTTAGGTTTTAGACACTCGGTAACACATGGTGTGCACCTGCTTTATGTAGGCAACATCGTCGAGAACGTTCACGTGCAGGAGTTCCCGGTTCGATTCCGGGTCGAGTTATGCCACTGTCTCAGACAAAGCTTCCTTTTAGTGTTACTATCTGAGTTGAATTCCTGACTCCCTCTTGCTCAGAAGTAGTGCATATAAACGATGCTGGGAGTTAGTTCGCAACCACTCGGTAGCACAAAGTGTGCACCCGCTTGAGTTGATCCTGTTGAACTGTTCACGCGGGAGGGTCCCGGTTCGACTCCGGGTCGGGTGGTGTGTCTGAGATTAAGATGTTTTTGTGTTGCTTTTTTTTTTGTACTGAACTTCGTGGACCGTGTTCGAGTTTAACTTCTATGTGTGTCGATTTCGTGATTGTTATAGCAGGGAGAGTCGTAAATAGGAAGATTGAGTACATGGAAGGAAGTATTTGGCTTGATTTATATGAAGGAGGACTAAACTGAGGTTGCAAGCACTCGGGAGCACATGGTGTGTGCCCGCTTAAGTTGGGCGACATCTGGAGCTTATGCGGGAGGTTCTCGGTTCGATTCCGGGTCGGGTTATCAGCCTCTCCAGAGTTTTTTTTTTTTTGTTCCCTTTTTTACGTGGATCCCTTCAGTGTCGCACTCATATGAATTGGACTAGAGCCCTAGGAGCATGAGAGGTAAGAGAGGTTGACCTTCAGTTATTTCAAGTATCTATTCCTCGAGTTGTCAAGATTACCTTTTCCGCCCTCAGGCCAGCCTTGGACTCGCTCAGAAACAGTGCATAAGCGACATTGGGAGTTAGCTTGCGGATACTTTGCACCCGGGCCTGCTTCACTTAAACTGGTGTCAAATAAGTTAGGCAAGCCCCGGTTCGATCCCGGGTCGGGTGGTCTCGTTTCGTGTTGTGCATCCGTCTTTTTTGTTTCTTTTCAGGCTTTCTTTCGATGTCGGTCTCTCAAGGAACGAGGTTGGCCTGAAGCTCTAGGAGCAGAGAGGCTCGACCGATTTTGCAACCCGATTTGAATTCGTGTTAATTTCCTTCGTGGGTGGTTGATTTCCGCTTGGTTTGGCCAGATTTCACCTCAGAAATATAGCATATGAGGGAGGACTAAGCTTAGGTTGCAACCACTCGGTAGCACATGGTGTGCACTTGCTTGGCCTTGGGGTTCCAAGTTTAAGCCATGTTTGTGCAGGAGGTCCTGGTTCGATTCCGGGTCGGGTGGTAGTCAGCTTTATTTGAAGCACTTTCTTTTTAGACTTTCTTTTTCCAACGCCGACCTGCTTCTCGTGATTCTTCTCTCAAGACGGAGTATTTCGTTGGACGGGGAGGAAAGGAAAACGGAAAATTTAACTTACTATCCCCATGGTTGAATTAATCTTGGTTCAAATACTGTAGTCAACATCCAGCTCATGGAAAAATATATCGGTGCATTATCAAGGATGCTGCAAATAGCTTGCAACCACTCGGTAGCACATGGTGTGCACCTGTTCCATGTACACACTTTTCACCAGGAGTTCATGCGGGAGGTTCTCGGTTCGATTCCGAGTCGGGTGATGGAAGCATGTAGCGATTTCTTTTTTTGCTACACGATTTCTTTTGTACACTATTACGTGGACCCCGGTTGAGCTTGAATTGATGCGTGTCGGGTTCGTGGTTGTGACAGCAGAGAGATTATGAGATTTGTTATTGCGATTGACATTGAGTAAGGAAGGACGACTCGGAGCGATTACAGAGATACCCCGACATGCGATGTGGGTGGGTAAACTTGCTGGTTGCAGGTCAAAGGGTCAGGTTCGGCAGGATAATTTCTCAGCGGAGTGGAACAATTGGACATAAGGATGGATAGTATTCTTGCCGAAGCAAATGACGCGACGGTGTCAATGGCAAGAGACTCAGGGCACGGAGACGAGAAGAGACGGAAAACAGAGAGTGGACGCAGCCCTGGAATAGCAGGCTTGAAATAACTGAATGAATTGCCAGAGGCGCATGCGCAGACACCAGTGGATAATATTTTGAACGAGGGAGTGCCAGTGCAGTTTTCGAGCGACAGATACGAAGGCATTCTCTGAAAGGTAGTCCGTTAATGCGCGCTCAGATTATTTGGCGGTGGTGGCAGATTTGAGTCCTCGGAAGCGGGAAGCGGACAGCGGGGACAAGCCGGTCGATGCGAGCACATCATGGAGTAGGGCGTAGCTGTCGCCGGGGAGGTCAGTACTCGTCGTGGTGAGGAAGGCCCCGTGAAGCTCCCGCCAAGGGTTGTCCGCCCAAAACCTCGGATTCGGGCCTCAAAAACCTAACTTTTTGGTCAGGCTGGGCCCTCAAAAACCTAAAATCGGACAAGGGTTGTCAGGCGGATAGCCATGAAAACCGGTTTTAGCACTGTGAAATTCGATTTTCGCGCCAGGGCTCGAACGCCCAAGGGCAGCGAAGCAGGACTGAGACTGTTTAAACACGAAGAACATTCTGATTGACGACTAGCCTGCGGTGACTAGAATTTGGGTAAAAATTCTCGCATCCCTCAGATTCCCTCCCTCAAAAACCTAAATGGCGGACAAGGCTTGCGGAATTTTGTCCTCAAAAACCTAATTTTCGGACAACCGGGAGCTTCACGGGGCCTGGTGAGGAAGAGAGAGCAAGGCCGGTGAATATTTAGTCGCCGACCAAACTTGCCGTTTTCGACCACAACTCCGATGGCTACCCCAGAAATACCAGGACAGACACAGACACGGCAGACACGCCCTCCACCGGCCATGGACACGCACATCGTCGGCACTATTGCGCGCCAACGCCTTGAACTCGCCTGCGGCGATGCCAATTCCGAGATTGCGCTCCGCGTACACCCCTCGCGCGTCTACTGCTTCCTTACGCCAACCTCGGGGACCAGCAAGGAACAAGGTTAGCAAGGACAAGCTCAAGGACGACGCGCCAGGCATCCGCACACACAGACCACCGCCCAGATCGCGGGCATGGTGCCGCCCGAGCTCACGGCGTGCGCGCGCAGACTCGGAGGCCCGGGATTTGCCTGCGTCTACCTCAACAAGTACAAAATTGACTTCGTTGTCGCCCCCGCTCAGCCGTGTCGACGCTTGCCATGGGTAAGTCTTTCTTCCTCTTTTGGCTCGTTATTGTAACCAAACCCTCTTTTCTGAACTCGTCTTTCTCTATACAGGTTACTACACTCCCTCCCGCTCCCGCTTCTATCCCCACCTCAAGCACGAGCTTCAGCTCCTCCCTCCCGCGCATCCGGTGAAACGACGTTACGTCGCCGCTGTTCGCGCCACTATCACCTGTCTCTCCCATCTCGCCCACCTCCGTGATCTCCTCGAGCGCGTCATGACAGCGTCAAGCGCGTATTTCGTCTCTACGTACCTCGGGCTTGTGTTGCGGATGGCGGTTTCTTGGCCACCGTGAACGCGTCTCCCCCCTTCACCCACTAGCACGGCCACCTCCCCTCGGGCCTCACATCGCCTCCGCGACCTCCCACCCGCTTACCTCGCTCAGCACCTCCGCCTCGCCCGCGTCCTTATCTCCCTCTACAGTCAATGAGTGGTGCGAACACCGCTCCCCCGCTCCCTCACACCGCCATCTCCGACGCCAAACTACTCACCCGCAAACGACCCCCGCCCACCTCCCCTGCCGAAATCGCGCCCTGGGCCTGCCGCTGTGGCGGGGCAGGATGCCCGCCGGCAGTGGCTGTGCAGAGGGCAGTGCGCCGAGAAGCCGTGTTTTGGCTGTAGATAGATCAGTTCCTGTAGGATGAGTCAGCTCCAAGCCGTTGTTTCTGCCACGAGAGAGATCCTCTGTCGCTGCTTGATCCGTCGCACCGCCACCCCATCGGCGGCCACCCCATAGTGGTGATAGGAGTGTGATCGCACCCACGCACCTTGGATTCCGCTCAAAGCCGCTCGATCGCCACCAACAAGCAGTTTCATCTCAGCAGCAAATTCGAGAATCCCCGGCGGAGAGACCGCCCCGGAGACTAGAGAACAGAGACTAGAGACTCCCCAGGGAACCGAGAGAGACATCCTGGAGCTTAGGACGCGCAAGAAAGTCTCGTACGACGACACGAGACGCCGTCGACGCGTTAACACTCTATCTGGCACCAGTGTCGAGGAGGCTCAGCGCCAATTGGCTCTGAATCCTTCACCATCACCCCAATCTCGGCTCCTATCCAGTCCCTTTCGTCTTCAGACTCCTGTTAGCCAGTACTCGCCGTCCGTACGCGCCAATTCTTCGCCATCAATCCACTTCGAGTTTGGGCTTCGCGCTTGGGCAGGTTCATCCCCCCTGTCCCCTTCCCTTTCTCCGGAGAGCATTCCAGCGGCGCCCGCGGTGATCCCGACGGTCAAGAAGGCACCGAATTCCTCTGCATCCACACTCACCCCTCCGACAAAAACCCCGAGAAGCAAAATGTCGATTCCTTACTTCTCTGGCAACCGCGCCGTTGATAGAGGACTCGACCCAGAAGATTGGATGTGCATGCTGCGCGTCCACTACCGCACGAATGGAGTCCCGGAAGCCGAACGTCTCGACGACGTTGCAGATCGCTTCAAGGCCGGTTCGCCAGCCGACAAGTGGTTCAAGGGACTGGACGATGCGGTCGACAAGGTGGACTGGGAGACGTTCACGCGCGCGTTCAAGACGCGTTTTCCCGATATTACTCCCGTAGAGAAGCCCCGCCTTCAGCTTTTAGCTGAAGTTGCGGGTATGAGAATCTCGATGGAGTCCCTCGCGCAGGAGACTGTGCTCGTGGGTGGAGTGCGCGTCTCCGTGCTGCGAGATTTTTCCGACCGCGTCAACGACGTCGTGGTTGAGGCGGCGGCGACGAACGACCGCGACGGTGGACTGTTCACGTTCCACACCGCGCTTCCGCCCTCCGTTCGCGGTGCCGTGGGGCCGGTCCCAGCGACTTGGGGCGCGATGGTGACGGCGCTGAGGGCCGTCCCGCAGGAGATCGTCGAGGCGGCCGTGGTCGCCCACAAGAGGGAGAAGGCGCTGGAGGAGAAGGTGGAGCGGCTTGGGAAGGTCCAGGACGCCGTCGACAAGCTGACGAAGTGTTTTGAGAGCGCGAAGCTCTCGGCGGCGGGCGGAGCTGGCTCTTCTGGGCAGCGCGGCGCGAGTGTCCAGACGACGCAGACGCAGCAACAAGCGGCGGGAGCGCAGGGAGGAGGAGGTCGTGGGGGCGCAGCGGCAGGGGGAGGGCGCGGTGGAGGAACGGCGGGGGGCGGGCAAGGACGTCGACCGGCGCCGACGGAGGCAGAGAAGGCGGCGCTGCGGCTGGTGTTTAACGAGGTGGTTTCCCGTCGCGCGGCCGACACCGCGGAGGGTCGCTTGCTGTATGAGACGCAGAAGGCGAATTGGATGGCGCGGAACGGCCACATCTCCCCCGACAACATCTCCATCGACATCACTGGCTATCCCTTGACACCGGGGACGGCGACGCCTGCGAGTGGGGAGTGCTGGACGTGCGGTATGGCGACGCAGACGCCGCATGCTCGCACCAACTGCCCTCGGGCTGCGCTGCCGGAGCTCGAGTCGCGCTTTCGCGCTGTATGCGGTCTTTGGTTAGGAGGTGGAGGGGCGCCGCGCGCGCAGGTGAATGAGGTGGCGGAGGTTGCGCCGTGGTGGGAGACGGAGGGTGATGGAGACGATGCTACCGCCGCGCAGGGTTTTTGACGAGGGGCGCGCGAGTAGGCCTAAGCGTAGCCCCGAACCCTGGCCTTATTGGTGGTCGGGGATCCCTCTCTTGTAACTCGTCAACCGAATTCGAAACTATTGACTTGTACATGGTGGATCCCCGTGAACTGTGCGCGAGTGCGCCCTTCAAGCATTGGATTATTTTGCACGGACCTCGAGGGGAAAGTGTACGCATCTACGCGCTCTTCGACACGGGCGCGATGGTGTGCGTGATGGACTTGCGGCGGTTTGAGGAGGTGCGGGGTCGTCTGGGAAGGATTAGCCCGCCGACAAAGCAGTTGCGGCTGGCGAATGGCGAGATAACGCGTTCGCTAGCACATTGGGAGGAAGAGGTGGAGGTAGAGGGCGTGAAGGCGTGGGGGGCGTTCGAGGTCTTTGACAGCGGGGGTAGCTGGGACTTCCTGTTTTCAAAGCCCATGCAGGCGGCGCTCGGGGTGATCCACGACGTCAAAGGGGATACTATCACGCTGGAAGCAGGGGGGCGGAAGGCGACGATATTGAATCAGAATGTGGGGATTGGGAGGACGAGAACTCACGCTGTCGAGAGTACAGCAAGGCCTGGGGCCTCAACGGGGGCGAAATCGTCAGCGATTCCCCCCGCGAGGCGCGTACCGAAGTTTTTTAATCCTGAGAGTGCTCACCGACACCATTCCAACGAGGTTTCTGGAACACATTCTTCGGTGTCGACGGGAGGGAAGAAGACACGCAAGGAGAAGCGAAAGAGCAAGACGCGGAGAACCTCAACGGGGGCGCAGTCGGAAAAAACTCCCCCCGCGAGGCGAGTACCTGAAACACCAACTGCTGAGGACGTTGATGCAGCTTTGCCTACAGAGGCCTTTATCATCGAACTGGGCGAC